TAAAAAAAGTATATATATGTAAGTGGATGTTTTTCTGTGACACCGTACAGTATAACAGTACATGTGATGTAATGTTGCTGATGTTACTGTCACTTAAGATGCTCTACCTCTGTCTGTTATCTCCTGCATGATGTGCTGCTGTCACTGACCATCAGAAGGGAATTTATGTTTGCCTTCCAAATGGAAAGAAAACTCATCCAAATACACGTGTCTTAAAAGAGGAAACACACTCATTATTGCTCGTAAACACACCAGTAAAAGTAAGAAACAGTTCTGTGATTTTAGAAAACAGTGAAAAATACAATCAGTAAACTATTTTTAAAAGACTGAAACTATTTGACAACAACAAATAATCTTAGATATGCTGTCATTTAAAACTGCCACCATTTTTAAAAGTGAAAGATATAGTCAACTTACATTATTTTTGCAATACACTATGAAGAAATCAGACTTTACTACACAAAGCAAATCTCCTGCTCCTCATCTGGAGCTCCCAAGCTTAAGATCCCTACGCCATATAGGCCAGCATTCTGTTTCCGTAGCAAATAACTTCAGCAACTCTGGCTGAGGCATGAAAAAAAACTACTCATTCCTTAATGCAGATTTGCATATTCTCGCCTTCAAATTCTGTTTGTTCGTGTTTCTTCTCCTCCTCAGTTTCTTTTAAACTGAAGATCTTTCCGTCAGGCTGCTTCATCCACTTCAGGTTGACTTGCCCAGCCATGCCGTGGTCCTCCAGTCTCTTGTTGAACTAAGAAGACAGAAAAAGCACAAGGCGTCGGAGTGTGGCACCTTCCAAAGGCAGCATCAGCAGCACGAGTCAACCAGAGTACAGCTGGCAGCCTCGGGCGCCGTATTCAGGCACAGCGCTAACATGATGCAAAGCCACTATGTTTAGCAGCATGTTGTGTTTACAATAACAGCACCAACAATTTTTATTTGTCGCAATTTATCATGATAGGGACAAGAATGCCCTCAGACTTCATGTCAGTCCGTCTGATAGTTGCTGTGAATAACTTTGCCAATCCTGG